CGGAGCAAAACATATGGAGTTCCCAGGCGGTCTCGCGCAGACAGGCTTGGCTCGGAGAGGGTGGCTGCCCCCCCCCCCGTGCTTTCAAGCCGCACCTTCCCCATTTCTCCAAAGCCTTCTGCCTTTCGGGGACTGTCACCCGCCGTGCAGACTTGCATTGGAGTCTTCCATTCATCAAGCCTTCTGAAGTCACGTGGCATGCCCAGTGCCAGGCAAGATCGGCCTGTTCTTCTTCCCTTCTGTGGGTCCCTTTGAGATGCCTTCATGGCTGGGATAATTAGAGGCTCTATAATTACTCTCTTGTATTGCAGCCACTGGGATCGCTGGCTGCCAGGACAGTCCTCGCAAGATAGTGCGAGTCTGTGTCCACTTTCTGCTTGGGGGAGGGAGCACAAAAAGATAGACGAAGGGTCCACACCGCTCAGCTCTCCAGGTTGGTTTTTCTGCCCTCCAGCTCTCCCTCTGCAGCACTAAAATCTAGCAGCAAATTCCACGCCTGAGCTGTGGCACCAACGCAGGAAGCCCCCTTCAAATGAAGCATTCTGTTTGCTTTTTCATGGCTTGCCACTGTGTGCTGCCTAATTTGAGCAGCCAGCCAGGAAAACCCTATTTAATGCTTGCATCAAATGAGACATTCAGTTGGAAGTTTTGGCACCATTTTTGCTGGGACGGGTTTGGGTGCAGACTGCAGTGGGCCCGACCTGTTCAGCCCGACTGAAGTTGTCCCCTTTCTGTTGGGATATACTGGGCTGCCTAGATGCCTGGCCTGGCTCTCTACAGGGCAGCTTCCAATGGCCTTATGGATCTGGCATAAAGTAAGGGTGAGAAACCTTTGGCCTCCAGATGTTGCATAGAATATACATAGAATCATACATAGAATCGTTGTAGGGTTAGAAGGAGGTCTTCTAGTCCCACCCCCTGCCCAAGGCAGGAGACCTCATACCATCCCAGACCTCATACCATGTTTGAGCATCAGCTTCCATGGTCTTGCCCCAGTATGGCCAGTGATAAGGGATGGTGCAGATCCAGATCACTGGCCGACCTCGCATTGTGTGGGGAGCCTCTATTGATGAAATAGAGTGTCTCCACACATTGCTGATCCCCATCAGGGAAATGGTGGACTGCCAAGACATTTCTCATTCCTGAACAAAAGCTAAAAGATCAGCCTGTTTTTCCATCAGTGGTGGCGGCAGCAGCAAAACTAACTCGTATTATGTGTGAAACACAACAAAACACCCTGGGTTATGGAGTGGTTGCTGTTTTGCACAAAGTATACATTTGTAAAATATTTCCCTTCATATTGTGCAAAAAGGGGTCAAAATGGGGGAGATGAACAAAAACTCTCATAGTCTCACCCATTAGACAAAACTTTAGCATTCTCCCCCTCATCAGGAAAAAACAAAATAAGTAAAGATTTGCTATGCATACACACACACACACACAAGCACAGGTATCCTGTATGTAAGTGGGTCCCAGGCATTGTGGTTTCCCTTATGGGGTGGGGGATTTCTCCTGACGATTGCTTTTGTTGAAAAGGTTCTGGCTCATCCTGCAGCTTCAAAACACATTTGATTTGCACAAAGGGTGAGAGCAATAATTAGTCACCTCCTCTTTGGCTCATTTTTGTGACTGTAATGGCAACGATTGATTTAAATATGAGAGCTCAGTGACCATCACAAGCTGTCTGGGCTTTGGTGCCATTTCCAATGTTGGGTAGGAGCCCTGCAGGGCAAGGGGGAACGGAAACAGCAGAACTGAGCAAAAATAAACGTGATAAGATGTAAAGTGTTGCGCCCACGGCAACCACCATATCATTTACAAGAGCAACTTACTGTCCTATGAAGCTCTGATTGCTCCGTCAGTGGAAGATAGAAAAGAAAGTACTGTACAGCTGGCCACAGTGTACAAGTAGCTTAGCAGAGGGGTCAGGGCGCCGCTGCTCCGCCAGTGGAAGAAAGAGAAAAGAAAGTACCGCTGGCCACAGTGTACCAAGTAGCTTAGCAGAGGGGTCAGGGCGCCATATATCTATGAGTGTTGCAGCATAGATGGAAATCCATACTTTGGATGATTATAGTAATCAGAAATGCACCACCAGCTGCCAGAAGAAACCCACAGCCAGTGGCCATGTTGGCTGTGGGGATGCTGGGAGTTGTAATCCAAAAGTTGTGATCCATACTGCAATCTCAGAAGTCTTTCATTAAGGTCTTCTTGTTAGATAGCTTGAATACATGTCATCGACATATTATTTATTATTGTAAAATAACATATTCCATACTTAATTTTTTTCCAGTTTTTTCGGCAAAAACAAAAAAAATGGCTTTGGTAAAAAATGGGGGAAAAACCCTGTTTCCCCCCATTTTTCCGCCAGTTTTTTTTTCCAGGCCTTCTCATCTCTAACTGCAAAGAGTGAGTAGATGCTACTACAGCTGCCTTGCATCCGAATGCACTCTGGCTTCAGTTTGAGTGCACAGTCTCCAGTGAAGCTTTGAAATCTGCACATTGGTGCAGAATTTGCATCCAGGCCTCCTTCAGTGGCACTGAACTGATGGCAGGACCTGAGCAGGTGCATTCCTTTGTGGCCCCTTTTGATTGTAGTTCTCATGGGAAGCATAAACTCTTACATCACTTCAGAATGTAGGTTTGATGTTTAAGCACTGATATTTTTGCTTTGTTTGGCCAGCCTCTTCCTGAGAAGAGCTTCAACATAAATAATTCCAGCAAAAAGGGGGAAAAATTAAGGAAGCTGAGAGGTTCTGTTCTCCAACTCTCTGTGTTACAGCAGGCTATACTAAATCTGGCACCCACTAGATTAGCCTATTGTATCCACAAATCAGGATCAAGATTAAGGAACAACATGATAGTTTTATCTTTAGGATTAGGAACACATAGAGTACATACAACATAGCCAGCCGGCAAGTACACAGGCAACGTCTATGAAGAGCAATAAATAAATAAACAATCCAGCCACCCATCTCCTGGTGAGTTTGGGAAAGACTCCCTTCTTGTTTTTAAGTATCTGTCCTCCTCACTGTTCTCAGTCTCCCACCCATCTCCTGGTGAGTTTGGGACAGACTACCTTCTTAGTATCTGTCCTCCTCACTGTTCTCAGTCTTAGCAACCTAGCCCAAGATTGCTTCATATAACCCTTTGTGGCAAGTGCAGATCTAAGAAAGAGAAAAAACACACTCACTTGTAGTCTTAGGCTGCAGTCTGATGCAAACTGATTTGGCAATAAACCCAACAGCACTTTTGTGGGACACATCTCCAGGTCACAACTGGAACATTGCTTTAACTGTTTTAAGACATCCTTAGTAACTACCTACCTGTGTTGAAGCTACAATTGGGTTTGGGGTGGCGGCCTTTACGTCTCATGTTCCAATGATGAGGGAATGTTGCCAGATGACTCCCTCCTTTTGTTGGAACTTCTTTATTCCACATGACCTACAACTCATAGTTGTTACTAAAATCAACCTCCCTTACATGTGTGATATATGAGACAGAGAGTCACATTTAGAAGGTTCTACCATGTATACACATGAGCAACATGGGGCAGCACAGTCGTGCCCCATAGCTCCAAGGATATGTGATGCATGTTGGAATATTCAATCCAAAAATACACAAGCGAACCTCTGCCCTGGTCTCCTCTTCTTGCCGTGCCAAGACAAGTGGGCAGAATCTGGCCATATCTGGTATGCATAGGACTATGGAATGGCAAGGCCCAGTTACTTAGAAGATGGCTGCTGTACCAAGTGGCTGGAACAATTGTAATAGCTCCTGGAGAAAGATTAAGACACCAAAATCTTGGAGGAGCTTGTTTAGGTTGCTTTCCACAGGCAGATTGTGGTATGAGCTGGGGTGGGTGGGTATCTTACACTTAAACCCTGAGGTGAAGCATCTTCAGCTTAGACCATGATGAGCCCTTCCACCTCCCATTGGATTGTTGCATAGCAGCAGCACCAACTAGTGTCTGGATCTTGGGTGTTACTGGGGATGGGCAGGGGTCGGCGGAGAGAAAGCTGGAGGTGTCCATACAGTGTCCCCGGATGTGCTGCAACACAGCTGTAGTTCAAACTTTTAGACACCAGGCACTGTCATACAGATCAGGATGACAGGGAAGAGATTTTGTGGGCAACCTTGGCCTATACAATTTTCCATGTAAATCAGCCCTGAATGATTTAAGTCTTCCAGAATCACTGAGAAATGCAGGGCATGGGCAAACCTTATGTAGATGGAGGTTATCTGGAATCCTATTTCATGGTCCATTTCTCAGTATACTGAAGTCAAGTTGGTGGTTCTGGTCTATTGTCATTTTCACATGGTGGCGCTGAAGCGGAAATGAACTAGCCAAAATTTACCCCTTTAAACCAACATTACAGGCACAAAATCCCTGCATGAGAGAGCATCCGACTTCTGTCTTTTAATTACTATAGTTTATCTTGCTGTTTACAAACAGGTTTGCTCATGTGAGCCATTGTGGGTGAGGGCAAGTTTAAAAAAATGAAAGAAAGGATTGTGGGAGAGAAATGGCTCTCTAGTATATAACTGGATATTGTTCCAATGTAACTGGGTATAACTGAAGGAAAGTGACACCATCACACACATGCTTGACATCACACACACACACCATTGCCCCTTGTATTATTTCCCTAATTTCAAACGAACCCTTTGTCCGGCCACTGAGAGTTCTTCAAGGTTTAACCAGAACATCTACCCGATTTGGGAATGTTAAGCTGGTTACTCACAGCTAATGTGACTCAAGGTGGTCACTCGGTGTGGATTAAAGATTTAGAACAATCGCCACTCCTGTTACAAGGCTGGCATACAAAGAGCCATTGTGGTTCAAGGACAACAATCTCTGTTTATTACCGTTGGACTGAGAGGCTGAAAGCCCCCGCTCTGGATGCCAGCACAAAAAGCTTTGTTGCTTGTAGATTGTTTGTTTATGTAAATTGAAATGGTGCATTTTATTATGCAACGGAAAGACTCGAAGTGACAAGAACGCTGCCGATTGGATAGCTTCCTGGAAAGGGAGCACTGACAAATCCAGACATTATGACTCTATTCTCTCCGTTGGCTCCAGGACGTTTATGAGAAGGAAGGTTGTTGACTCTTTCATATTCATATAATTTGCAAAAAGCAGCTGTGGACAATCAGTTGATTTGAATTTTGCTATTTTATTGGATATCGGTTCATTCCTGGACGGATCCTTGCAAAGGACAAGTTGGATACTGCAGTCATCATCATGACAGAAGATGTCCACGTTCCAAACAGCATGTCTGAATATAATCGGAATGTGCCCTCTGAAAAACCCCAGCTACAGGTTACTGATATTATTGATCAAATAGCCAATTCTGTTGAGGGATTTCCTTATGAAACGACACAGCCTGAACCTCTTTTACTGTTTATGCCAGAAAAGCAAGAAGGAGTCAACCATTTAATAGAGAACACTGTATATGAAACAGGTGATGTTGAAGCATCCGAAGTTTCAGCTGGGGTGAAGGAAGATCAAGGTAAAATGTTATTGTGTCATTTTCCCTCCCAGTTACCTTGGGAATAAAAACAGGTCTTTTACACATCATGAACTACAAAAAAATAGGAGTGTTTTAAAAAGTGTTTCTTTTATAAAGCTTTGTTTCCATTTTTATTAGCATATTTAATACTACAAAATTATTGTGTGTGAATGAAGAACAGTGATTGAATTTTGATGCCATGCAAATAAATCTTTTCAAGTATTGAAATGGTAGAAGTGTTAAAAGGCAGATGTGCTTCTGGTCCTAAACATGACCTGGCCAAAGTTTTTAATTCCCATTGATTTCAAACAGAGGAGATTTAAGTATGTCCTAAATTATCTTCTCTACATCAACATGGTTTCAAATGACTTAACGTTTGCCAGATTGTGCTGAAGGAATGGAAGTTCCGTTAACTTTAACTGAACTCTTTCAAAGGTTTCATGTGCTTGCAAAAGTTTTTTTAATTTTTTTTTTGGGGGGGAATCAGTCTTTTGATTGCTGTGAAACATATTTCTACCATAATTAGCACAAGATGAAGCGCTAACTAAAAGCTAACTCCAGGCGATGAAGTTTAAGTTGCACTGTGTGGCTGGAAAGATTTGTAATTGCAGCTGTAATCACTGATCTCTTTTTAGGAGATGTCATTGCTTTATATTTTATCTTCTAAAGGAAAGCCAGAGGGAAACAAGGAGCAAAAAGCTGTTAACTCTTCCCAGGAAACAAGAGATTTGGAAGAAGAAGATGGAGAAGGTGAGAACTATAGCCTTTTTTTTTTTGTAAGTATAAAGAAAAGTAATAGATTTTGCTGACAATGTGCACAATCTTACTAAAGAGAAGCAGTTCATTCCAAATGATTTTAATTGACCAATTAAATGCAAATTTAAATCTTTCCCACTGAAATATAAACTGAAGTTATATTCAATTTAACTCTGAGAGTTTGATGTTAACTGGATTTTGCACTGTAGGGCAACTGCTTTGGGGAGAGATGTACAACTGTGGATTATTTCCCCCCAACATGTTGAGCACATTTCCACGAACAGTTATTTCCCCCTTGAATGATATCAGGGGCACCTGAGGAATAAAGGATGGCAGGAATGGGATATACAGCTGATAATATGTCCTACAGATGGGGTTGTTTATTTGCCTCCCTCATCCATCCTATTTATCCACTCCGCTAGTTAGTACATTTGTTTACTTGCTTCATTTACCCTTATTTCTGAAAAGAACAAGCAGCTCCATTAGAGGGAGGAGAGAGAGCGAGAGAAATCCGAGAGCTACAAACAGAATAACGACAAGGGGCACAAAGTGGCACAAAGAATAATGACAAGTGGCACAAAGTTGAAAAGTTGAACAAAGTTTGAAAAGTTTCCACAAAATTGAAAAGTTGGAAAGACCTCATATCCTTTGAGGTCTCCAGAATCTTTTTTAAGGATAGCTTGGGCCGTTCAGAGGTGGACATAAAATAAGCATGCCAACCTTTTCAGGAGTAAAAAACCCATTGTGTTTAGGACTGCAGGTGTGCATGTGTTGTGGAGATGGAATCGTAGGGTATTCATTTCATGGTTATCTTGGATGCAAAAAAGGTAGTGATGGGAAAGCCTGCTTCTGCCTGTAGGTACCTGGGTTCTCAGCGTTTTTGAGGAGTCAGCTCACAACAAATGGGATTTCCCACCAATGCCTATCTGGAGACACACACTGTGCTGTGCAAGCACACAATGGAGCCTATTAAGTATTATTTGACATCTTTCCCCTTCTGCTCCCCACAATTCCCAGGCGCAGGCACTTTATCTCGAAATTGCAGACAGCTTTTTTACTACCAATCCAATTTAACCTAATTAATACTTAAGACACCAGAGGCAGAAGTTGAATGGAACGTTTTGTTGTAACATTAAAACATCAATTAAGTCATGGAGGAGCAGAATATGACAAGCGTTTGACATCCCAAATGATGGAGCTTGACATCTTTGGGAAATGGCTGTGTCGCCTTAGGAAACACCATTTCCCTATGACTGTAATACATTTAGAAATTCAAAAGCAAACACACAGGGCTTGGAAATGTTGTCTGTATGTATTTGTGGTTTTTTTTTTAGTCCAGAAAGGCAATATTTCTAAGCTGTGCAAAAATCCATGAAGGCTTCATATGTCAATAGTCTGTGTGATTAATCCAGCTAGTGTCTGGATGCTTTTGTTTCACAATAAAAAAGAAATCGTTGTATGGAACGATAGGGAGACCGTCTGATGGATCTCATCCAGATAGCAGTTCATACGGAAAAGGTTGGTGAAGAACTTGCAACATGGCAGGAGGCTTCAGACTGCTGGGCAGGGCAGGGCAGGGCAGCCGTGCTCCAGAGCAGTTGGCAGGGGGTGAGTAAGGTTGGAACATCAGGGAGAACGGCACTGGTGCAAAGCTGGGGAGGGGCAGCTAAAAGGGCTTCAAGAATGCCCTCCTACTTGGTTTGCTGCTTGCAGTGGCTCTTGGACCTACGACTGCTCCTGCAACACCTTGAGGCTGCTCCAGCTGGGAGCATCTTTGCCCAGCTCCAGTGATCCCCAAAGTCAATGGCTGATATCCAGTAGCAAGCCACAATTTGAGTAGACCCACAGTGGGGATATGGTGAATCCGCTTCCCCCATACTTTCTATTGAGTTAGTGGTTCTTCTCCTGCTAACGTGATTTACTACCAGATTTCAGCCACTACGTCATTTTCATATGCCCTATTGTGTTTCCATCCAGTGAAGAACAAAACCCAAGAAGACCGAGAGTCCCAGGGAGCTTGCATAATGCTTCCGCACCCACTATTCAATTTTTGTGCTGAACTGGAAGATGTCCTTTCAGCAATTAATCTGGTCAAAATCTCTTGCTTTCCATTATTAAAAAAACAAAGGGCCAGTTTGGAGATTAGGTGCATGGTTTTGACGGTGACTTCAGCTAAATATCAGATGATCAAGCATCCTCCTCCTCCAACAAGGGATTCAACTCATCTAGTAAGGTGTTGTGTTGGGGGGCAGAATGCCATGAATAGGTAACTAGCGGAACAAAAGTGAGGGGGTACCTGCATGGTTCCTTTTGCTGAAATATTGTCTCCTGCCTACAGATCCTTAACTTAGTTTATAGGAACATCTCATAACGGATTTCTTTGTTTGGAAATACAGTAGGTTAAGGGTGGCAGAATCCGGGACACTGTTCTGAAAAAGAATGCCTATAACGACACACTCTGGGTTTAGGATCTGGGTTTAGGATCCCTAACTTAGATTGGTTTGACAGGAACAACTCCTAACAGATAGCTTTGTTTGTCTGGGATTATTTCAAGGGTCACAGAATTTGGGCCATTCCTTTTGAAGAAGAATGCATTGTAACCATGTGATGCAGCCCACGGTAACTGGAGCATTTGTAGGATGATGCTGTGGATCACAGGGCATCATCTTACGACTGCTTGGTTGAGATGGCTTGTTGTCATGTTTTTTCCAAGGAACTTCCCCAAACTCAGTGCCTATATGATCCACTTTGGCATGGGCATTTATATTTGGTCCTCAGATATAATGGGAATGCTACACGCAGGCCCTCATGAAGGATTATATGAGTTGCCTTGCCACTTACTTTTCTCTTGCCTTGATTTCCCCCAGTGGTAACACATGTCATTATTAAATCAAGGATGACAAAACCACTCTGACAACTGTTATGGCCCCAGTTTAACTATTTCTGAGTACTTTCTACCGAGGAAACCCTGAAAAGCATTGCCATAAATCAGAACACTCTGCCTGGTGTTTCTGAACAACAACAACAACAACAACAACAACAACAACAACAACAACAACAACAACAACAACAACAACAACAACAACAACAACAACATGAAATCAAATCAGTTCTGATTTATGGCAATGCTTTTCAGGGTTTTCTAGGTAGAAAGTACTCAGAAATGGTTAACCATTCCCTTCTCTTGGGGGCACCCTGGGATTATGCCGCTTGCCCAAGACCACCCAGGCTAACTCTTTTCCTAGGAAGCACAATGGAGAATCGAAGCCCCAACCTCGTTCTCCACAGCCAAATAGATACATAAATAGATACATAAACCACATAAACAACCAGCTAGATCCACTTTAACTACATGCCAAAAGCCATTATTATCCAGTGCTACAGAGAGGAAGGAAAGGATGCTACTGTGTTTTTAATGAAGTTTGCAGGGTTTGTAGATGGGCACTGAAATGCTATCAAGAAAAGTACTCCAGATCCTGAAGAAATGGCACTGGGAGTTCTAGCACATAATCATCTCCAACCTGATATTCCTTGTGATAATTATGTCCAGATGTAATTCAATCTGCAGACAGTAGTAGGGAACCCCATGCCTTTCTTTGGCTCCTGTGCCAATGCTCCATCTTGCAAGACATGCAGCATCTATGGGGGTGAGATACACACCACTGAGTAAATGGATGGATAGATGGACATATAATGGATGGACATACAGGAAGATAAAAGACTTGGTTATTCTATCTCATCATTTTTAAAGTTTTGCTTTTGAGTAAACCGGTTTTGATATATTTCCCCTGGTGGCATGAGGAGGGGGAACAGAGCTCAGAAAAGTTACTTTAAAAAGAATCATATCAGTTGTTATTCTTATTTTACAAGTAACATATTGCACATTACTCATGAGTAATGAGTGACATAAGTAATTTGTTGCTTTTAGCTTTGTTTGCACCATGTTTGCAGCATTGTTTGAACCCCTTTAGGAGGTGTGGTTACAAAGGAGCTGCCTAATAACCTTTAAACAGGGCTTTCTGCTCTCATTTCCTCCTCTCATTAGCTGTTTTTTTAAAAAAGAAAATCTTGTTGATGGGCTTTGCTTGCTGTTCCCCAACTGTGTGCCGTTGCAGCAGCTTTTCTACATCGGTTCCAGAAATTGTGTGCCTTAACCAATGAGAATTGTGGTTTTTTTTTTTAAAGTAGAAGCACTAGTGACAGAGGGAAGGGAGGTGACTCTAGACTGATTCCCATTTCCCTTTGCATTATGTGGTAAATGGGAAAAAATAGTAGCATTTCCTACATTCTTTCTGGTGTAGTCACACTGCTATTTCCCTGCTCTGCACAAAAGCCACTGAACAGATTGAAAAAGCTAATAAATAAAAGCTAGGCAAGGTGACTCTCATGTAATAAGTCTGAGGGTGGTGGAGGTGATGGTTTTGAAAGGATGAAAATAAAGCAGGAAAGATATGGGAAGCCTGTGATACTGGCATGGCCAGTGATGAGGTAGGGTGAGAGTAGCAGTTCATCAACATCTAGCAGGCTGAATGTTTCTCGCTCTGATATAAATCCATGGACATCAACACCGAGGCATTGTGCAGTACAGGGCGCAGTCTGCCATTTAACAATACTGGTGAAGTCAGGTGTGAAGAAGAATGGTTGAGAACATATTGCAACTAAGTCTCGCCTAAGCTGTTGCTGTCCTGATGACTCAGTCTATAGCCTCTATCACCCTCAACCAGCACTGCCAATGGGATCCATGAGGGTGACTGTAACACAACACATCTGGATGACATTTGTCGGGACAAACATCATTCTCTTGATTTCTCAAAAACAGATTGGGAGAGATTGTGTAAATGTTTACAACTAGAGATCGAGGTATTCGTATTTGTATATGAATACAAATATCCCTACACAGCTGGACTGAATGGGGGTCACACATCCACTCACACATCCGGCAGTGGTGGCGGCCGCACTTATCCTTCCAGTCGCTCCTGGAGTGCCGCTCTCTT